TAACACTTGTGGCTCCAAAGTAACCGATAAAAAAAAGTTCAGTTTTCTAGAAGAGATCAAGTTACAAACAAATGATAGAAATAAGTCTGAGAAATGTGAGACAATCACTTTCCAACCATATACATGTGGTTTTAGTACACACATCAAGTTTAGTGTTAGGATCGGGCGTGGCCTGGAGGTTAGTGTGCTACACAAGGGCTATCTGTGCTCTGCCCATTACGGGTATTGAAACCCGGTTTCTAGCGTTGTAAATCCGCAGACGTACCGCTGTGCCACTGAGGGGCAGCGCGCCTATAGAGCTCAAAGTGATGAGCGAATTTTTCACGGGAACGGGATGCAAACCATGAACCCTTAGATTAAAAAACTTGACATGCTTATAGTGTTTTAGCTTTAGCCTTTCTGACGGCACCTTATGTTTTTACAACTATCTATCTAATCTATTTCGTTGTTGTTGTTTTATTTAATCCTGCAGAAAGTTCCAGATCAAGTTTTATTTAGTGATCAGATCACAACGCCCTCTGTTGAACAAATTGAACAGAGGGTTTAACCTTCCACATTTCAAGCATAGTTCCTGCGTCTTTCTGCTCTCTCTTAAACAAATAAACAGACGTGTAATAGAATTGATAATAAAAGTGTTAATATATCAGCTTCTGACTCCATTTATATCAACCCTCTGCTTTCTTCCATCCAGCCACTTTGCTAACTTATCCCCCACATCCTTAGAGATAATTTTATTTACAAGCCTTTTATGTGGCACCTTGTCAAATGCTTTATGAAAATCCAGAAACACCAAATCCACATAGTTCAAGCGTCTTTCTGCTCTCTCTTAAACAAATAAACAGGCATGTAATAGAACTGATAATAAACCAGCTTCTGACAAGCGTAGATATAAATCTAATGGTTAGCGCGATAGAGTAATAGAAGAATTTTACAAAAGAAAAATTGTAATATTTTCTTATGGTGCAATTTGATCCTTTAAACGAGTGGAACATTAGTAGCTAATTGAGGTTTAATCCATTTCAGGGTTTTGCTAAACTACTGAGTAGAAATAGCGCGAGATTAAATGATTCGCTGACTTTTCGTTTTCGTATCTACTTCATGTCCGTGTCTAATTGTGGAATATTGGTCTGTTTTATTTTAAAGAAATATATATGTGTGTGTAGAAAATTCCGATAGGTTTTGACACAAGAAAAAGATCTACGTTAAACTAAACTTGATATTTACTAGCATCTTTGTTGATGTTTACAATGACCACAGAATGATCATGGCCTAATGGTCGGCGTTCTGGGCTGTGTATCGGAAGATCCAAGGTTCGAGTTGCGATGCTTAAGAATACGCTTCTCACTTTCATCTGTGGGTGTGTTATAAAAGTGACAATCAATCCCGTTATTCGATTGAGAGAAACTGGAGGAAGCCCTTGTGGCGGCAAGTGATGTTAATTGCTATCCACAAAACTCCCTCTATTCTTTTCAGCGAATTAAAGAACTGTAATAGCTTATCCATATTTATTTAGTGGCTCTAATCAGTGAAGTACTTCAGTCTCCCAACTTATCTATTACATAAGAAGTGTAACGGTGTCTCTTCAGCTTTTTATCTTTCTGCATAAACTTGAGAGCGACATACATTCATTACACCATATTGGATCGGGCAGGAAAGAAATAACACGTTTTTCTGTCTGTTAGATTAAGCACACAGTTGCACAGTAGTTGCATCTGCACTGTGCCAATCGCTGGGATTTAACCCGGAATGTTAACGTTTTAAGTCTTCGTGTTTAACGCTGAACCATTGAGTGGGCAACAAGTGTTGAGAAGTTTCACTATATAATAACTCTATTTTAAGCTTACAGGCACTTAGAAGCCTAAACCAATAGGTATTGTGACTGTATGGACAGAATAAAACTTATTTCAGAAATCAAAGTGACCAAGCAGGGAAAGAAAGAAAGATTTTGAAGTAGCCACAGTCCAGAAGCCAATGAGACATACACTGCTGTGAGAAATTCTCAAACATTTAGCATTTTTCAACTACAATGCACAAATAAACTCAAAATTTGTGTTCAGTGCAAATAGACTTATATGAAAAAGAACATCTTATTCAAATAACCAAATTTATACACAATATACCTAAATATAACCTAATAGCGAGTATGTTCACAATTTTCCTTCAAAACCATTAAAGTTCTTGTAGGTACACTCTCAAATAATTTTGTTATAAACTCCTGTGGAATGGTGTTCTACGCTTCTTCCAAGATCTTTCAAAGATCATCAAAACTTCTCGGATTCTTTTTGACTTCTTCTTTGCTCAAATATTCCCCTACAGCTTCAATGATCTGGGCTTTGAAAGGATCATTCCATTTGTCGAAGGACTCCAACTTCGTGTTCTATTTGCAGATAAGTTTAAATTATTCCAAATGAGTGTTTTGGATCATTATGTTGCTGTAAGATGAAGTTTGAACCAGTAAGTCTTGCACCACTGGAAATAGCATGACGGATTGCAATTTCTTTGTACCTTACTGCAGTCAATGTACCATCAATTTGCAGCTATTTCCCAACACTGTGTGGGGATATGTACCCCCAAATTTAAACTAAACCTTCTTCATGCTTATCTGTTGGCTTCAAGCAAGGCTCTTTATAAGTTTCAGTTGTTCATCATCTTACGTTTTGTCTTCTATAAGATCCAAGTAACTGAAACTTTGACTCCTCTGTTCAAAGTACCTGTTACTATTGTTCCATAGTCCAGTTTCAGTGTTCTTGTTCATATTTTAGCTTTTGAGTCTCGTTTCTCCTTTTTTAACAAAGGTTTTCTTCCTGCAAAACATCCTTTAAGTCCTGATTTCGAAAACGACCTTCCTAACATTGGTGGATGGACAACAACATCTAAGCCTTCTGCCAGTTCTGTTGCCAAGTCAACACTTGCTTTCTGTCAGTTCTGCTGCCAAGTAAACACTTGCTTTCTGTCAGTTCTGTTGCCAAGTCAACGCTTCCCTTCTGTCAGTTCTGCTGCCAAGTCAACACTTGCTTTCTGTCAGTTCTGCTGCCAAGTCAACGCTTGCTTTCTGTCAGTTCTGTTGCCAAGTCAACGCTTCCCTTCTGTCAGTTCTGTTGCCAAGTCAACGCTTGCTTTCTGTCAGTTCTGTTGCCAAGTCAACGCTTGCTTTCTGTCAGTTCTGTTGCCAAGTCAACGCTTGCTTTCTGTCAGTTCTGCTGCCAAGTAAACACTTGCTT